GTGTATTTAAACTCATCATTAAACCCGTTGTTGTACTGTTGGAAGATCAGAGAAGTGAGGCAAGCTGTTAAAGAAACATTAAGGCAACTTTTCTGGCGCTCTAGTTAGTTTAGTACGCGTTTCAGCTGTAAATTCATGCTTAAAATAACCTAAGAACTTGAAACTAACTACATGTAATACACGTCAAGGGCCCAGTCCTTTTTCTCCAGAACTGTTGATGCCGCTGCAGACCTTGGTCTTGTTATCAGTGCACCCAAAACAGAGCCTGGCAATGGCTATGCCAGAGTCGGTTTTGAGCGCCTGTAACGTATGGTGTCGTATGCCCCAGTATACTCATTCCTTTAATGTTATGTTTAACAATTCCGAGCGACGTTACCAAAATTCAAATTCAAATGTAAAAAACCAACGTATCTGCGTCATCATAACGCCATTATCGAGACTAAGTAACAAATCTTGCGTTTTTACAGCTCTTTAATACGCAATTGTCCCCATGCCCCTACAAATCTTCTGAACGTCTTCGATGATATTCGGACGCCTTCGGATATGTTCGGGTTTTATTCCAAAGGGCTAGCTCTCCAGAACTGAAAATGTCAGTTGTGACTCAAACAAAGTGAGAAGGAGATGAAAGTTGTTCGGGTATGTGGGTCGGGTAACAAATCTGGGGATTTGTTAATTTAATGCCGGCCCGAGATTTAATTGCGAGTCGGTCAGTCGCATGAAACACCTACATGGAAGCAAGAGAGGATAAAGGGGCTATCCTCTCTTGATGGAAGATAGAGGGAAAGGGCTTAAGAAGGTATAGATCCACCAAATAGATCCAGCAATTCGCACAGTTTATCCAGTTACCCACTATCACTATTTTCTCTGTGCAAGTCTTGGCAGTTACTCACTTACTGGCTGTTACCCTTAGAGTGTGGTATCCCTCACTACCTTGTATACTCTATACCGGTGTATGCCACTGGATGGGGTCAAGAGCCCAGGATGAACAGGCTAAAAAAAACGCAAATCCAACATTTCAAACCGATTTTTGAGCAAAAAATAGAAAGCAAGCCAAAATAAAGAGCAAAACTCAATTTTTTACCCATTGAGCTACCTACAAAGTGATACAAAAATAGAAGAATGTTTTCACTTCAGTTCCCCTGAATACCTTGCTGCTTACCTAAATCAAGTCTTCTCATGTAAAAGCACATGTCCTTTCTTGTTCCTTCCAGACTGAGATGATATGAAGTTTGCAATTTTTATAACTCTTGTTTAAACTCTTGATTTCGATATTAAATGGCAAATTTGGGCTGTCTTGGTGTGGAGACGGGTCAAGGTTTACAAGGCCCCAGCGGAAGACCCCTACCAATTTTTTTTTATTTTTTATAATAATATAAGCAATAAGAATGATAAGAATAATAAATAATCTTTATAGAGGAAGCTCCGGCCACATTTAGTGGTTTTCAGGGAGGACCTTACCAAGATCAAATAAGTGATAAAGGAACTAAATCCTCTTGACGCGAGTGACTCTAACAACCAAATATACGTCTTACGATTAAACTCTTTATTATAAGGAGACTTACTCTCTAACAATATTATTGTTCTGTTAACTTCTAAGCTTTCTTCTTCAACTTAACCTTCATTGATCTTCAGCAGTTCTCTACTTGTTTCTTTCCGTTCTCTTTCTCTCTCTGTAACTGCATACTCATTTCTTCCTTCAGTTCCTTAGCAGCTCGCTATTTATTTGTTTGATGGTCATTGATAATAGGTTTACATATTTAGTAATACGTAGGATGTATCTGCCAACAAAAACGAGCCACAAAACTTGTGCTTCCTTAGTTAATTTCTAAAAAGGTCGAAATGTTCATTTAAAAGATAACTATATTCCGAGGGATGTCAAATTTGGAGACAAGATGTCCCACTCTCAAAAAACACACTGTTATTAGTAAATTGGTTTCATCATGTTGCATTTTTAAAGGTAAACACTTAGAATGTTCTAGAACCTTAAAAGCCTATTGATCGGATATTTATCGAACTATTTATGTAGTGCTACAAAAATGGTATTTAGTTCGGCCGTGGGTTTTTCTAGAAATTTTGGTTATTCGCTTATAGTAAAGCCGAAAATTGAGTTCAGGCAATTGAACATGTCTGGGCGGATTGATTAGACTCCCTGTCTTAAAAGTAGTGCGTGGCAACAACTGATACAATATCAATACACATCTCATAATCTAACCCAACGGTTGTTTTCTCTCTATATTTGAAGCTTTATGTTAAAACCAAACAAAGAAATCACCTGCTTTGCTTTTGGTTAACAGCACAATATCTCAGGAAAACAGGAAGAACTAAGAATGAAGTCACTGTGCATGCGCTTAGATAATTAGTTTACACAATATAGATATGGGGAAAAACTGGTAATATTAATATGGAAAGCACGCACTTGCGAGAATAACATGCGAGTAGATGCAGTGCAGTGAAATTGAAGTCGGCAGACAAATTTTAATACCCTACTACTAGCCGAGGTTTCTTTCCGATATCTTCCCATAACAGACACGAAAATTAAAACCATTGTTGCTACCGCTAATTATACCTTTTTTCGGCCATCTGACCTCAAGTTACCGTGGTTAATAATACATACAACGCTCGCCTGGGAAAATGGTTCGGCGATAAGTCAAGCCTATAAACTTAACAGTTTGTGTTATTGGAATTTTTTTCCCTAAATTACTGCAATGTAAGTTGTCATACGTCAAGCTTGCAATGGAAAGGTAACATGAAAAGTCATTAAANTTAACAGCACAATATCTCAGGAAAACAGGAAGAACTAAGAATGAAGTCACTGTGCATGCGCTTAGATAATTAGTTTACACAATATAGATATGGGGAAAAACTGGTAATATTAATATGGAAAGCACGCACTTAAGAGAATAACATGCGAGTAGATGCAGTGCAGTGAAATTGAAGTCGGCAGACAAATTTTAATATACCCTACTACTAACCGAGGTTTCTTTCCGATATCTTCCCATAACAGACGCGAAAATTAAAACCATTGTTGCTACCGCTAATTATACGTTTTTTCGGCCATCTGACCTCAAGTTACCGTGGTTAATAATACATATAACGCTCGCCTTGAAAAATAGTTCTGTGATGAGTCAAGCTTATATATAAACTTAACAGTTTGTGTTATTGGAATTTTTTTGCCAAAATTACTGCAATGTAAGTTGTCATACGTCAAGCTTGCAATGGAAAGGTAACATGAAAAGTCATTGAAATCACTGATCCCTCCAGTTCGTTTCACCTGCCGATAGACTACATTATAGTTGGAGGTTAGCCTGAACAACTACAAAGCGTTTCATGAAATAACTAAGATATTACGTGCGCTCTGATTGGCCGAGAGGAGTGTTTGCATGAGAGTATGTAAACATGGTTGTGGCGTCAAGATGTTTTGCTTTTCGCGCGCAAATCACGCAAGCACAAATTTGAAAAAGTTCGACAAGTTTACTTTATTTACCCATTCCTTCGTCGGCTGAAACTTGGAAAATCGTTACAAAGGTGTGTCAATTTTTTTTTCGCTTAAACTGATATTTTAAGCGAGAAAAATCCGTAGTTTGGAAAGCATCTTTTTGCAAAACAAGAACTGATGACGCGTGCAAAACTTCGTGTATAAGACTTTGCGACTGGTAAGAATTTCTCTTTTAATCAGGACCGTAGTAAAGAGTTTGCAAGCTAGTATTTCTTAAAAGCATAATTTGTCTGAATTTCCTCTTTTTTTTTCCTTTCACTTAAAAGTATCTCAATCTTTTAAACTTAAAACGGATATCGATCAGTTGAGTTTTTTGCCAAATTACTTCTTTCAGTGACATTATACGTTTGAAAAGGCTATCAAGGAGCAACGAAAGAGCTAAAAAGTTATTAAAATAGTCAGTGAGCTATATATACTTCAAGCTTGTGACACTGTATTTGGTCTGCTTGGGTTTCAGTTAGAAAAACTTATAGACTGTGCCAGGCTCTCAAATAGTAGAGACGTCGCAAAAACTATAACTATGCGAAAATAAAGCGAAAATAAGACGCTCTTGATCTGAGAAAGTGTGCTTTCTCATAGGCGTACGGGCCGGGGGGGCGAGGGGGGCTGCAACCCCCCCAAATTTTGGGCAACTCAGATTTTTTGGGCAGCAAGAGAAAATTTGGGCAAAGCCGGCTTTTAAAGACGTTGTCATTTTTTTTATTAGTATTTTGAAGACATAAATATTTTCTATTTTAACCTGAAGTCCGCGTAATAATCCAGTTACATTCACACGAGACAGTGGTCGCCAAGAACGTGATGAGTTTCTGTTTATAAGGGAAGGGTATCATATGCTGAGTTTTTTTATCGTTGGGCACTGTACTGCAATGGGCTATTTCCAATCGTGAATTGATTAGAATGAACTTCCGCCTAACTTTCTAGAATCATCTTCGCTCGTAGAACAGTGTATGGCAGATAGCATCAGCGATTGATCTGAAAGTGAAGAAGTAGCTGACTAATTCTCACTTTGAATTACGAGAAGAATCTTTATTTTTTTTTTAAATCTATCAAGTGGTTCAAATTACTCACTAACTTGTTAATGTAGACCGAAATGTTTACAGAACCGCTAACAAAAGCGCCATGATACATACTAGTGAAATCCTTCTTCGCAACAATTGACCAGAATTATCTCTAAAATAATTCACACACATTTTTAAAACGATTGAAGCTATGAGGCGAAATTGCATGTCAAAAGCGCTTCGTTTTCTACAGATAAAGGCTAAACATCAAGATGTTCCTTTTTTTACTGTATTTCTAATGATAAAAACTTTATCCCAAAATATCCCGATAACGCTATGACAGATTCCGTTTTAACTTCACGAACACCGAGGGGACTATTGGAGGAAAAAGCTTCCGAGAACGATTTCATAGTGAGAAATAATGCAGCAACTATAATAGGTAATGGCGTCATTTCGCTGCTATGACAACTCCGATGTCATTGCAACCCTGATCATGACAATTTTTCATCTTTATCTAATACAACTGTGGTGGCAATTTTTCCAAATGTTTGTTCATGGCGGCGTAGTTTATGCTCAATGTTGGCAGGTATTGACCGTGCCAAAACTGTATCGAGGCACTTTCATATTCCAGTACGGCCTATGTTGTTGCATCGTATGGCGCTCGTTTCTTTTCGTCTGATTTGTAAAAATTTGGGCAACTTGCAAGAATTTTTTGGGCAAATTGTTTACCCCCCCCCCCCCCCCCCC